GGGGAATTCTGGGAGTTGAAGTCCACTCATCTTAAAGTGGCCAAGTTTGGACAACGCTGACCTAAATGACTCCCAACATGGTATATAATCTACTCCACAAGGGCATAATTCCTCAGAGTTTTGTATTTGGCTATGGAGGCATCCTGGGAGACCCTGCTGGTTGAAAGATTCTTAGGAGCATCTGCCCCTCACTGCTCAGTTATGCAGACCCTTATAGCTCTGGCTGATGACACATCACTGTCTGTGATGCTACCCCAGAGCAGGCCACCTTCTCCTCCAGTCGCACAAAATGAAAACTGCTTGAATATCACTGAGATATTGAAATTTAGGATATGATCTAAATGACTGAAGAAGCAAGACAAAAAATAAAGCCAAAAGAGATATCAAATGGAACATTCCGAGGCTACCACTTTTAAGGAAGTGGTGCCACATACTGAGGAAGCACTTTCTGAAGTAGAAGAGACAATGACTGTCTCTAAGAAAATATTTTATCAATAAAAGAGTTAACTATTATGACAGTAACTTTTTTTACAGATTCTTGATATTTGACTTCCTCTTTTTCCTGCTTTTTCCCTTTTCCTACCTATCAAATATTAGGTAGTAAAGAATTCTATGCATAATTTCTTACAAGATTGTGAACAAAGTCAGGGATGACCTAGTAGACCAGGCATGTATTACAGAAAGCTGTTTGGGTGGGGGCAGTAGTGTTGCTCTCCAAGATCTGCTTTCCAGGTTTGGGGGTCCTGTGCCAATCTCAATGCCAAGGTGGGAGGGAGCAATGCAAGGCGGGAGGGAGCAAGAAAATCTGATAGCATCTAGGGGCTCTGCTCATGAGGGGCAGACTATGAATTCTTCTTCATGTTGTTGGGGGAAGGGAGAAGCTAGGGGTTCTGCTTGCGTACTACCTGTCTTGCTGCATAGCAATGTCTCTTCCTGAGCTCTTGGAGCTCATCACTGAGCTGGTGTTGGAGTCTTCCTGACTTGTAGTACTGGGAGACTTTAATCTCTATGCCTTGAGGTAGGGTTCTGGAGAGCTCAGGAATACATTGTCTCCAGGGCAACCATGGCTTTGTCCCAGATTCTCTTTGGCCTGATGCACATAAGTGGCCACATACTTCTAGTCTTCACTTTGGAGCTGGTAAGCAATCTGAAGATAGAGGATATGCTAATGAATCCATTGCTGTGGTCGGATCAGTCTTGGTTTACCTGAGGGTAGTTGCTGCCTCCAAACCCCTGCAGGGAGGACCCATTAAACTGATTCATCCAAGATACCTTATGGATTCAAATGGATTCCAACAGGCATTTGAGGACTTTGAGGATTTCCCCACCAATCTGGAAAACAGTTCTGCCAAGCATCTGGTTCAATTCTGGAGTATGGATATAACCAGGACACTTGATAAGGCTGCATCAGAGCAGATTCACCTGTCAGTAGATCTGAAGGGATTCCTTGGTTTACTAAGAAACTCAGGGAGATGAAGCAGATGAAGAACACCTACAGAACTAATGCAGAAAGACCAGAAGTGAACATGACTGAATATAGGCACCAGATAATGACTGAGATTACCACATGGCAATAAGGGCAGCAAAGCACCCCTGCTTCTTTGCCATTATCGAACTGGTGAACTCTGCCCCAGCAGCTTTGTTTAGGGTGTCTTGTTTCCTTTTTGGGACCAAGATTTGGTAAGATCTGCCTACATGCTTCTGTGAGAATTTGGGGTAAAATTTTGCCAATAAAATCACTTAGATTTGCTCAAGTGTTGGTTCCTCATAGACAGGAACTATGGAGATGTTGAGTCTTCCAATGCGATCTGGGATTCATTGTATCCTGTAGAATTTCAAATAAGTAGATATGATACTGGGCAGTATAAGCTCTACTCCATATGATCTAGACCAGGGGTTCTCAAACTACGGCCCACGGGCTGGATACGGCCCACCAGGGTCATTTATCCGGCCTGCCCGCCTGATTGGCTACCGCTGCTGTCTGTCAGAAGCGGAAGTGTTGGGGCTGTGTCGGAAGCTGCGGGCATGGGAGGAGGAGGGAGATCACAGAGCCGGACTATTCTACATGACAGGTATGCCGGGTCTGGCGGCTCTCCTCCTCTCCCCATTCTCCCCCGGAGGGATCCTCATGTTTTTTTCAAACTATAGGCCGGCCCCCCCACATTCTTAGGGAGCATG